CTGAAGAGGGCCACATGTTTGAGCCACCTAGCAGTCCAACCCGAGTTAAACCAAAGAATAAAGGAAGCCCAGTCAATCGACCCTGCCCTAGTAACCCGCAAGAAGGATGCAGAACAGGGAGTGAACTCAGAATTTCAGATCTCTGCCGACGGATTGATTCGTTTCAGGGACAGAGTGTGTGTCCCAGACGACAGTGAGTTAAGAAGAGACATCATGACAGAATCCCATAGTTCAAGGTTCGCCATGCATCCAGGAAGTACGAAAATGTACCAAACTATGCGACCTCGGTTCTGGTGGAATGGGATGAAGAGAGATATAGCCGACTTTGTATCTAAATGTTTGGTATGTCAGCAGGTCAAAGCAGAACATCAACGCCCGGGCGGGTTACTTCAGCCCTTACCGATTCCGGAGTGGAAGTGGGAACATATCACCATGGACTTCGTATCGGGACTACCCAAGGCACGATCGGGACATGATGCTATATGGGTAATTGTTGACCGACTCACTAAGTCTTCCCACTTCCTGGCCATCAAAATGACTGATTCCTTGGACAAGTTGGCAAGGATGTACATCCGGGAGGTAGTCAGACTACATGGAGTTCCAGTAACAGTGGTATCCGACAGGGATCCCAGATTCACTTCTCGGTTTTGGAATAGTTTCCAGCAAGCTATGGGAACAAAGCTGTCTCTTAGTACTGCCTTCCACCCCTAAACCGATGGACATCAGAGAGGACAATTCGTACGCTGGAGGATATGCTCCGAGCTTGTGTCCTTGACTCCGAGGGCCATTGGGACGACCACCTACCCTTGATAGAGTTTGCTTACAACAACAGCTACCAAGCAAGCATCGGCATGGCCCCATACGAGGCGTTATACAGGCGTCCGTGCAGGTCGCCGATCTGTTGGGAGGAAGTGGGCGATAGAAGATTGTTTGGCCCGGATTTGGTAGAAGAAACCACGTCCAAGATAGTTAAGATCAAGAAGAACATCCAGACAGCTCAGAGTAGGCAGAAGAGTTATGCCGATACCCGGAGAAGGGACCTGGCCTTTGAGAAAGGCGACCGGGTGTTCCTTAAAGTCACCCCCTTCAAGGGAATTAGCAGGTTCGGCAGGAGGGGAAAATTAAACCCCAGATATATTGGACCCTTTGAAATCTTAGACAAGATTGGTACCACTGCCTACAGACTTGCACTGCCTCCTGAGCTCTCCCGGGTTCATAATGTGTTTCATGTATCTATGCTACGTAAGTACAATCCGGACCCTTCTCATGTCTTGGCTCACGAACCGCTTCCACTCCGAGAGGACTTGTCTTATGAAGAAGTACCGGTCAGTATCACGGACCGAGAAAGCAGAATACTCCGCAACTGGGAAATATCATTTGTAAAAGTCATGTGGCAGAACCACACGCCCAGGGAGGCGACTTGGGAACTGGAATCAGAATTTAGGGCCCAATATCCCCATCTGTTTGATCAAGAGTAATGAGGCAAATTTGGGGACCAAATTTCTTTATGGGGGGGAGAGTTGTAGCGCCCGGACCGAGGGAAAAAAAAAGCCACGTCGGCAGCCACGTCAGCAGGCCCGGCCAACCGGGGCCTGCCATGTGGCAAGACCACGTCGTTCCTGAACGGGCCACGTTGGCGATCCGCGTGGGCGCGATCGGACGGCCCAGATTAAAACAAAATGGACGGCTGAGATCAAAGGGCAAGGGGTTATAAATAGAACCCCCACACCAGACCACAAACCCTAACCGCCTGCCGCTCGCCGGAGAAGACGAACCAGAGGCCGACCGCCGCCACCCGCCGCCGCACCGGGGAAATTTCCGACCGCCGATCGAGGTAAATTTCATACTCCCGACTCGTTTTTCCACGCTGATTCCTCCTATGGCCAAATCGAAGCCAAAATCCCGGCTAAACGGCCGGAATACGCGGCCGAAGACCAGCGGCGCCGCCGCGCCCCCTCTCGGTTTTTGCCTCCGACGAGGCCCTTCCTGGCCTCCGTTTGATGCAATTTTTATATCACCGTGATCACCATTCTTTTATCTACAGGTTGACTGGAAGCCGAATCACCAAAACACGAACCTCGCCGGAGAGCCGCCGCCGGTAAGCTCTGTTTTTCCGTGATTTTTT